GAAACCAAATCTTAAGGCGTCGAAAAAGCCTGCGTTGTTGACAGTCGGGAGCACTACGAATCAAGAACCTTTGTAACTTGAATCGCACGGTTTTATAGATTTCTTAACCTCAGTCGCCTCTCCATTGATCTCTCATTGTCACCTGGTGACAATTCGAAACCTAATGGAGAGCGCGGGAGAGATCACCGTTGTGACTTATGATTCCTCTCTCTCGTCGCGTTTTCCTGGAATTTTTCCGTTTCCATTGTTTAACTAATTTAAAAAAAAACAATTGCATTGTTCAATCGAGACACCTAATCCTTTCCATTAGCGTCTGAAAAGGAGGTGTTTGTTTTAAACTCCTCATTCGGACTTCTCAGTCGACCCGTGTGAACAGACTGTCCTCAAAAGTACAGTCTGTTCGTTTATGCTGAAACTCGTCAAGTGGTCTTCACGACTTGAAAAAACTTGATGGCCTAGCTAAATTTCCGCACTAACACTTGGACTAGCGTGAGAATGTTCACTATCTGCACGCCGACTCTTGTCGTACAATTCTTCAATTATGTGAGGTTCCAAAAATGGGTTGATATTAAAGATTTGTTATAGTAATTTGGTAAAACGAAACTAGAAAAATCGTCCATTGTTAAAAACCGATCAAAGATAGGATTAGTTGTGCTAGTCATATGAAACCGCGACAAGAAAACAAAAAGCTATTGATGTAAACAGAACGCAATAATTATAAATGATTAATAATTGTAAACGAACAACCTCCAGTAGAGATTGACCTTTGACAAGTCGCTCGTATACAAATAATTAGAATATAGAAATTTTGAAAAGGGGAAAAGTTAATGATGAAAAGGGGCATCGCGTCGTGTCGTTAAATTTCAAAAAACGTCACAGACTAGACAACAATGGTGGAAAATATGAGCGCAACTTTCAAAGTTTCATCAACACTTTGCATCTAGAGTTAACGGATGGTGTCAAGTAAATTCTTCGAAGCGAATCTTTCTGGTGACTCGAACAGGAATCGTCTTTCGCTTAGAGACAGACGAGGGACCATCGGGGAGCGAGAAAATAGGGACGTGGAGCCAATCAGAAGAAAACAAAACAAAGAACGGAGATTGATATAATCCCCGATCTTGAAGGACACGGGGAGACTCGGCAAGATGCACTCGACACGACACTCGGCGAGTCAAGACAAAAATGGGTGAAAATCGGAAGTGCTGTGTCAAAAAAAAAACTGGAGACGAATCTTTTTCGTCTGGGTTCCGATACCGACCAACAGAGTCTCACGAACCGTGTAACAACACTGTCCCCGGGCCCGCCTATACAACAACTACAGGAGCATCGACGCTATCGACTTCCAAACAGCCGATTGTATCTAGACAATATTTGTTCCTTAGTGTAAGTTTATCTTTATGTTTAAAATGAACGGGTTATTGTGAGATTCTTGTCATCTGTCTCTCCTCCGCCACACCCACACGCGAACGACCCTAGATCATCCTGACGCGGGATTAACGATTCCTCCTGGAAGTCGGCGAACTTACAATTTACATATCGTAGATGTAACAAGTACTTCATCAAACTTTACAAATACCCTAAATATTAACTAAATGTTGAAAAAACGCTAAGTTTATAATAGATGAGACTAGAAAAAATCCGTTATTCCGAGTTATGGATACGCTAAATGGAGGCAAAATCGCTTGGAGACTTGGGAAGAAGAAAAGTTATTCCAAGAAATCCGTTGTTTTGCAATCTGTTAAAACAAGATTCTACTGTACTCGTAACAGCAATCGTCAAAATTTGACCATGACATAAATGTCACGGTAGAGCCGAGATCAACGTATCGGCCCGAAATGACACGATTATTTTAGAATCTTAAATTCTGATCAAAGATTTGACCTTGGGTCCCCAAAGTGGAAAGCTGACGTCCTTGTTCTTCGGCCACCTGACCACCCACATATTTGTTAGTTTATTACGTGTAAACAAATTTAGGGTAATGAGAACCAACAATAATTGACTTTACTAATAAACAGGTTTTAAATTCTTGAGAGCAGAGATAAGCGGAATGTAAATTTACACTGTTAGATACTTACTTATTCCAGATCAATGATCTGTATATTCTGTCTTTAATAAAATATCTTTCAGTTAACATATCTAGCACCTCTGCTCCATTATTATTCTGGGAAATAGTACAAATTTCACTGTCACTGACATAACATTAAGTATTTCAAAAAGTTTTCCTCAAAACTATTGAACTAGTTTAAAACGAAGTTTTTATTTATTGACTACGAATTTTTCTGTAGCACTCAAATACATTAGAGAAAACGTTTACAGTAAACGGAAAAGTGCATGCAAGATAATAGAAATCTGGGGGGAAAGAACAATTTTTCCGTTTATCCTAGTCGAAATACTGGAGATTAAAAACTAAATAATTTCCTGTATAATTATATTTAAATTGTTTGTATATTGGGTTCTTTATAATTATTCGAAATTGTGTTTTGGAGCAAAAAAATTCTAAAAATGTTATCGTGAACTTCATGCAATTGTGTATTTGGTCACACGCTTTAAAATATCCTGTACATTCGAATATTAAGACACTTTCGGTTACTGGCCTCAATTCGTCATCTTCGGGTTAGCGACATTAAGGATGTGAAGAGAGAAAAAAAAAATCAAGAGAACATCGAACTGCGAGTTTGGAAACGTAAGGTCAACGGCATACAGAAATCATTTTGAACCCCATCAAGGACAAATTTAAAATTATACACACTAATATTGAACTGACATTTCCAATTTTTAGCATTGAAAAGTATACTTAATTTGAGCTGGTTGATAAACAAAAATAGTGTTTATTATTATTATTTTTTTTAAAATAAATTTTACCATTTATTTCATTCAATTTCCTGACTAGCATATTCTATGCTTCCTCCGTTATATTGGTTTATTGAAAAATTTTAAAATTATATATAATTTGAATTTAATGAAAGTTACTTAATCAATAATGCTAATTTAATTAAGATTTGTAATCTTATTTTCAATGTGGAAGTGAATTTCTAAAAATAATAAGTGACTTAATTAGCTATCCATATACAATTCATTATATCTTCCTAAAAAGTAAAAAACATTATTTTGCATTATATATATATATAGAGGCCTCTCACAGTTTTACCACTTTTGTTCAAATATTTTCTCCTTTAAGTATTTTAAACCAGACAAAAACATTTTGTACTGATTTTGAGTGACTACTACTCTATCTTAAACTATACCATTATCTTTCACAGGAACCAAAACAGAATTTCCCCCATCAAGGTGGGTTGGGTCAGGGCATCCAAAGTAACAATAGTCTACTACCATTACTCTGTATGTATATCTGTAATATACTCTGTACAATTTAATTATTACTTAGAACAGGGGCCACAAAAAATATTAACAGGGATGGACAACCTGCAACCCACAGGTCCATCCCTGTTAATATTTTTTGTGGTCCACATTGCATAAAATACATATAAATATATCAATTTCCCAGCTTTAGGAAGTATGCAGCAAAATTCAAACATTATTTTCTACAATTTATGTATGTGAATAGTTTTTCCCACAACGAATTTAGTAAAAATTAAAACAAGAAACCATCTAATTTAAAACTAGCAGTGAATAATTTTTAACCAAATATTTCCAATATATTACGTTTACATCAGCTCCAGAAGCTAAATTAAGTATACCTATGCTAATTTATAATTATATATGAATAAATAATTCATTTATTGGCATTTGCTTCCTCTTTCAACTTGTATGCAGCCAGCATCAGTTCAAAAGTTTTGAAATGTGGCCCTTACATAGAAAATGATTGCCCATCCCTGACTTAGAAGATAAGGCCCAGTACAATGTTTGTCTATACTCATATACATAAAGTATTAACACCAACAAAATCTTCAAAAATACACCAGCAATTATATTTGGTGACAATGTTTGAAGGTTTTGTTAGTATTATTTACTAGTATATAACCAGCTATGGGAAGATTTATATAGTATTTTACTAAATGAAAAGAAAAAAACTAAAAAGTTCAAAACTAAACTTTCTTAAACTAAAAAATACAATCAAAATAATTTTTTTTGTCTTTTAAATGAACCAATAACTAAATATAAGAAATTAAATTATATAATTTTAAATTGTAAATCTTCAATATTGTATTTTTAATAATGTTTAAAAAAAAAATGAAATATTTTTTGATTTGTTACATAAAATTGAAAGCATCAATTTTATACTGTACAAATCACTAAGTAATTATGGACTTGGAATAAGCTTGTTTTATTTAAGTTTATATAATGCAAATTCCTATTATCTAACACTTGCTGGAATCCTTGAGTTGATACAATATAATGCATTTCAAACATTGAACCAAGACAGTATTGATAAGCATATATTTAAATGTATTTAAAAGCCCTGAAATCTACAAGTCTCTAGAAGACCAAATCTAAATCTACCATTGTAGAAAATTATTTTAAATTCAAAATTTTCAAATTTCACACTGTTTTATAAAATATACTTATTCCAAAAGATTTAATGTAAGACATTTTTCACTAAGAAGGATGATGTATTTTACAGAAGAAATTAATCTTTGAATAATTAATTCTAAAGGAAAAAAAAAAAAAACCATAAATCTTGGCTTCATATTTTAATTGAAAAAGAAAAATACTGCTACATTAAGATTACTAATAAATCTATTAATAAACTTATTGATAATCTTAAATATAACAGAATTTTTCTCTGTTAGAATTAATTTTAAATAAGAAAAAGTTCTTCTAAATTAAATTTAACACACAAAAGAATTATAGATAAACAATTTATGAAAAATAAAACTTTTTCTTTTTGGCCTCAAAATTTCATTAAATCCTATTTCATTCTGAAATAAGAAATATAACAAATTAGTGTTTAAAATGGGAAAATAGTATTGATTTTTAATATTACAACTATATTACAGAAGTACTTCACATATTCACATAATATAAATATATACAGTAAATATATATATTTATATATATTAAATTTTTATCTTATAAATATATTTTACATGTAACAAATCTTAATGTACATAGAGATCTCATTTAAAAAATTTATAAGAATTCCATTATTATACAATTATTGTAAAAATATATATGGGCTCATATATGTATATAGGACATTCATTAATACTTTTATAAAGGGCAAAATTTAGAAACTGCATCATTAAGTAACATATTGATATTTAAAATGAATGCTTTAAAAATTAATTTATTTAATTCAAATTCATAATATATCATTATGTTCTTCAAAATTGAGTACTCTTCGCTGACACTGTCTCAGGAACTGTTGATGTTTTAAATATATCTTCATTCCACCTTTAACTGCTACAAAAGTTAATCCTCCCTAAACAAATTATTTATATTATTATTTATTTAAAAATCAGAATTCAGAAACTTTAAAAAAGTATGTTATAAAAATAAAATAATTAAAATCTAACCAAAAGGGCTCTTTGTAATCGTGACTGTACACTGCTAAACAACACCTTTCCTAAAACTGTAGCCACAGTTGGCAATATCAAGGCACCACAGAGTGCACGAGTATGAGATACTGGATCTGAATAACTCAGGTTATCATTTATAAGATATTCTCTGAAGGAGTGCATCAGGGCAACACTACTTAGAAGATTTTTCAAGCCTGGTATACGTCCAAAATGCCTTCTCCACAATTTCAGTATGTAATCTTCCCAACGTACCATTTTCCCCAAAATTAGCATCACTGGAATGGTTGGAAGACCTACTAATAAAAATAGAGGATCTGCTTCTTCCATTACATGTAGTCCTTCCTTATGGCCAAGAACCTAAGACAATATAATGTTAGAACATATATAAAAAATCAGATTCTATATTTTATGAATACTTCAATAAAATTTAATTAATTATATAAACTTTTAGAGATATTTTTATAAAAACTGATTATTGTAGAAATAAAAATATTTACATCCCATTAAAGATGAAGTCAAAATTACTTCAAAATTATTAATTAAATACACTGAACTATTTCATTTTAATTATTGCTACTATTAAAGTAATAACTTATTTTCCTTGAAGTCCAGCAAATTTATTAATTATAAAAGTTAATTTGAAAAATGTTAACGTTAAGCATATTAAAAGAGAAGAATTGTATTTTTTTTCTTAAGAGATAAGAATTGTAAAAATAAATTCTACATTATTGTTTTGGGAGATTCATTTAATTAAATTAAAGAATCTAAAAGTATTTGGAGTAAAATTTGTTAGGTTTCATGAAATTATTATTTTAATATATGACACATTAATGGATGGAAAGATTGATTATTTGGAAAAAAAAACTATTTTTATAATGATCTATCATTCATATATTATTTTAAGTAAATTATAATTACTTGCATGACAGTCACTGCTCCGTAGGTAACAGCAGTCCAATAAATTGAACCAACAACAACTCCTGCAGCCACAAATGGACACACTTTATATAATAATCTATCAGCCAAATCCATCATGTATACGAATATACCTAAATTGTAATTTAATTATTAGATATTTTAATAATTTTATAGAAATATATAACTTTAATATTTATATACAGAGCTACATTTTAAATTATAATCACAGAAAATATCCTATAAGTTCTTTTCAAAGTTAAGATTATACAACTTTTAAATCTACTTAACTATGCAAGAAGAAAACTCACTATCTGAACTATAGATAATAAGAAAAATTTATTAAAATCAAATATACACAATGGTTCCTCATACTTCAAATTTATTCATTCAAGGAGGCCATTCAAACTCTGAATTGTTCAAAGTCGGAATAAATTTTCCTGTTAAAAATAAAGTGATTTCATTCCTAGACCCTAAACAATACCCATTTCAATATTTACTCCATTCTAAACTGCACTTTTATAAAATACTCACTCAAAACATTTTAATGTAATATGTATAACTTTGTTCTTATTGAAATGCTTTTCCTGAAGATTGTTTAAAACAACTGAAAACATTAGAATAAAGTTATATATAGTGCATTTTAAAAGGTTTTTGTGTGAGTATTTAATACCCATTTCAATTGTTTCATACCCATTTTGTTTTATTAAAATTATATCTGAAGACATTTCAACTCAATTAACTCCAAAATCACCTAAACCCAGTAACAAATAAAAATTTATTAACTGAACTAACATTTTCATCCTTGTTTAAAGGTCATCTTTAATAATATTTTATTGTTACTAGATTTAATGTTTTTGGAGTTAATTGTACTTAGTGCATCCATTTTAGTGTTTATTGCCTTCAGATAAAAATCATATCAAGCATATTATGCTTATGAGTGTTGGAAAGGATACAATGCTGCACAAACAGTATATAAAAATTTAAATAATGTGTTTGGTATTTGGCTAGAGATGGGAAATCCAGTTTCAGAAGTGGAACTGAAACTATTGGAACTCTTTCTCTAAGTATGGAACAGTTCCTTGAAACTACTGAGTTAAACAGTTCCTCAAAACAGTTATGTTCCATTGGAATTGCTTAGTCCAGGAGTTGGCAAACTTTTTTAGGAAAGGGCCAGACCATAAAAAAATTAGGTTGCCAGGTTAAAAACTCAAATAGGTATATTTTTTTAATAGTTACTTCTACTCATTAATCAAAAACAAAAAAAAGTTATTTTTTATTAGGAAGTAATATTTTTACACACAGAGCATTGTCTAACAGTGATAGGTTAGAATATGCTCTATCTTTTTCTCTCTCCCCTCCCAGTTCTCAAGCTATAGGGTTAGTCTTAACAATCAAAATAAAGGAATGAACTTAAAATAGCAGGAATGGTTACATGTGTACATGTAAACAAGAAAACTGTTTCATTGATGAAATAAAGCAATCCCCGGAGAAAAAGATTATCAGAACACAAAGTGGCTAATCAACTGAAAGACACTGCCTTGGTTTCAACATTGTGATAAAACTAATTGTAAAATTAACAAATATACTATTAAAATTTTATATAGGCAAAACAATATTGTTAAATAAAGAATTAAACATAGTATAATAAAATAGGATAATAAGATTAATTTAAATAAAATAATGCTGTATGCTGAAATAAGACTGTTAGAGTATTAAAAAAAGTATTCATTTACAGTCAACCCCCTATAACACTGTTGATCATTCCATTTTATATGAATTCCATGTTGTATGAGTCACTTAGATTTTACAAATATGTGAGCCGTTCACAGCCTGGCACATGTATTTGTAAAAGCTAAGTGACTCATATAACATGGAATTCATATAAAACGGAATTATAAACAGTGTTATAGGGGGGGTCGACTGTAATTAAATTTGTAAAATGGGGGTTAGAGTTGATCTTTTTTTTTTTTTTGGGGTATAATAATCCACTGAAGAGGTCTCAGCACAGTGACTGAAGCAAACTGCATTTGGTGGTAACACCCACTGTTTCGTTGTGATTGATGTTCAAATAAAAAAACTTCTCCTTTAAGCACTGGCAAAGTTCTGACAGCACTTCTAAAAATCAGTTTGGAAGAAAAACATTGTCTCAAAGACATTTTTAAACCTTTCTCCAGATGCAACCCCATCCAATTCCAAGTGCAAGTGGTCAGCCTGAAGGGGAGGAGTATTTTCAAAGGGATGAGACATTATAAGATGCATCACCTCTAGTTTTTTCCTTAGCCAATTCTATATCAATAGCTTTTCAGAAAGTTTAACATATGAATTTCTTTAAGACTATCATTCCAGAATAATCATTAGAAAACAATGATTATATGTATCACAAGTATCACTAAAAATTTCAGTTTATTTTAACAATAATAAATATTTAAAAATCAATAAAGGCATACCAAAAGATGGAAATAATATCACATATTCTGAATTGCATTGTCTACAGTTAACTTTCAGGGCACTATTTCCTCTTTGCTTCTCATCTATCCATCTCTGTAAGCAATGCTGATGAACCCATTTAGTAGTACCCTGACATCGACATGGTTGAACCCAAGTGGCTGCCTGATCTTCTTCTTCTGTTGCAAAACATATCCAACAATATCTTTTGCTAAAATTAAAAAATTTAATTAAAATTAATAATTTTTTAATTTATATAGATTTACAATGTAACTCTGTCAAAATATATAAATACAGTAGAGCCTCGAAAACTCGGCACTCCGGATAACTCGGCCATACCCTGGCAGGGCAAAAATACCCTTAGATAATTAATTTTCATCATAGACAGCTTTATGCCTCATAAACTATTTTTCTGAGGTCTGTCTTATCAGGTAAATTACTGTACACAGTGTATTCATTAATTTTCATTTTCATGTAGTAAAGGCTCTATGCCTTCATAAAGGA